GACAACAGTCCTCAATACATAGTGTGCACGTGCGTCACGCAGCGCTCCTTCGTCACTTCCAAAATGGGCCACCGTCATTCCCGGGTACCTATCGACTCCGTCGCCTACCGCTGCCGTGTTGTCTCCTCGTGCTTGCGCACGTTTAGTACCCTATGCATGACACATTGTTCATTGCTGTGCATGGGTGTCGCAATATACGCCAGTTCAATTGGCCATGGGTAACATAGACAGGTGCTGACAAAGCAAACTGAATCGCCATACTTGATATAACATTAAGAGCAAGTTTACATGAGAAACAATCACAGTATTTACTAAGTAGGTGAAGTAATGCACTACATATGTGTATTATGCATGTAATCCTGTAGTACATTTGGCATTAAAAATATTCATCATGCATTAAACAAACATTTAAAATACAAGTATACTGCCACAAGGTTCCAGGCAAATTGTATTACCTCAGGGTCATAGCAAGTTGCTCTGCTGAAGATATGGGCTCTCGGATAAAGGTCTCTCTCTCCAAGTCTTCCTTGACCAAACTGAGGATACAGTTAAATTGTTATGGGGCCATGGGATAGTACTTTTTGAAGTATTCTAGGTCCCCTGCACGCATTTTTTTTCATCTGAAATAGAAACAATAATTTCGCTTTTTTTTCTTTCCCAGCAAAGGTCACAAAAAATAACTATGCAGATTTATGTTGTCTGGTACCTAAGCGAGCAGCATATCCATAGCTCAACACTTCTAGAAATATGTGTCGCGTATATTGCATGTGTATTGCTCCATACATGCCAAGGAGATTACTTCATGCATGTTCCAGACTCAGTCTCAGATGACCAAATTAGAAATCATATCTCTGGCAGTCACAAGCACAATCGAATAACTTTAAGTAAATAAAAAGAAGTAGCTGTGCACTGATTGCCCGGAATTGCCCTCAACAAAATGTGGCCGGCATAATACGACTTCTATGCAAGGTGAAATCGATTTGTGCTGATCTGAATAATGAAAGAAGTGGTTCACTTTTAGGATGAAAATTTATGGAATTAAGGTACGCATGAAATATTTATTTTTATCGGAGCAAGCAGTGTATTGAGCACAGGACGGCTGTGCACTAATATGAAAAAAAGGGGGGGGGGAGGCGCGAATCAGCCTGATAACCAGGCAGTCACAATTATTGATTGGTCCACGCGGAGTGAGGTGCTGCCGTGTGTCCTTTGTCGTCGCGAACACTTTTTAATTGACAGCTCACCCGCACTGTTGATGATCAACTTACTTTTGAAGAACGTTAAAATCACATAAACAAACGAGACTAAAACGTTTTCAAACAACGCTTTCTTAGAAAATGTAGAATCGCAATGCACATTTCATGCTCTGACGAGGAACCACTTGAGTTAGTATTATGCTTCGTTTTAACGCGCAGCGCAATGATTTAATGCGTGCGCAACTAGCAATGTAATTTATTAGCTGTAATGCGATAACTGGTATACGTACCGTGGTGAAGAATTCACTCTCGGCGTGCCGCGTTCGCCATGACGGGCGCACCCACCACCTCCGCTGGCGTTGATCCTCCAGCATCATTTGGGCCAAAAGGACCTTCTTCTTTAACAGAAGCAGTCGCTTTCGGCGCTTAGTCAAAACCATGTCGGCGACCCGCGAACAACAATAACAGGCAGCCCAACTAGAGTGAAAGGTCTTTCTAGTCAAACACGACACAACGCTGACTACCGCCACTGTTGCCAATATTTTGAAGCGACTCCTTCTCATTTGAGTGGTAGTTACACATACGTGCGTATACAAACTCACTACGTTTCTCAGAATAGATTGCAGTTACTAAATTTTTTGAGTTTGTTTTATAATTTGTTATGCTGAAGTCAAGAAAGAGAGGACTTTTACGTACTTTTTCTTTTGTAAACACATTGCTGGTCAGGCAACGCTGTGAAAGGCGGAGCCTCTACTATCCGGCGAACCGGCAGTTTTTGCTCCATGTGTCTCAAAACGTCGCATGCGGCACGGCGCACCATGCCACGCTGTCACACGGTCCCGTTAATTCGGGAGGCCATCTCCGGGCTAATTCTAAGGGCAGAAGTATCGGCCCCCCGAACCGCACCACGAATGCGTGGACAATTTCGAAGTGGTCCTTTTTGGGGCGCCACCGGACGCTGGCTGTGGCCCAAAGAACAAGCCAGAGCCAAGAGTTCATAAACAAAACAAAATTATATTCTCAATATTGTCAGATCAAAAACAATACACAAGTATGCACACTCCACAATAGTTGCATACAATATGTCACCAATCAAACAACGTACTACACAGTCCAATCAGCCACACTCGAAACAACGGACACAGACAACAAAACGCACTACAATGCAGTCGCACGCATTGAACAACCAAGACACCTAAAGACTAAAGAGATACAAAACCTATTCAGTCCAAAGTTTTTTGAACAAAAGTCTGGATGATACTCTTCCGAGAATCACTCACTCAAAGTCCAGCGTTGTTGTCGTTCCACTGCCCCCAAAGTTTCTTTTCCAGGAAACCTCGCCGAAGCTTCTCTTCCAGGAAACCTCGCGTCTTCACTTGGCCAGTCTCCAAGCTTCAAACTTCTTCGCCGGAAACACGTAGGCTTCACACACGCAGATGTTGCCACGCGTCCTCACTCGATAGCGGTAAACACACACACTTGCCTGTAGCTCGAGTCGTCACCCCTCAGGTGAAAATCATCTTCTTCTCCTGCTTTGTCTCTACGGACAAAACCTTCACCGACTACACGACGGAATCCCTACGCGCTCTGGCGCTAACTTCCGTCTTCTCCTGATCTCCCATTTCCGCTGCTCGGGTAAATACCTTCCGCGCGCTATTCCAGAAAATTCTCGTCATTTCATCGGCGCAATGCGCAGCGAAGGCTGGGGGAAAGCGCGAGACGGTACGAGGGCCGTCCGCGACGGATGACTCAACCCGGCATCACCACACCCCTTTCCATCGAGGAATTTCGAGGGCTTGCTCGGCCGCCGATGCGAGGAGGTTTCGTCGGCGAACCTACACTTCCGAGGGGAGAGGGATGCGTGCCCGGGGAGTCTTTGGATGCTTGTTTTCTTTTTTTATTGTTGACCTCTCGGCGCTTCGTCGCGAAAATTGGGCGGCACGCCCTTTTTTGAGCGGTCGGTTTGTGACAGACGCCGCACGACGCATCACAGAGAAAATCGCACGTCTGTCTCGCGTTGCTGAGTCCCTTGTAACAAATTTCCTTGGCCGCTGGAATGAAGGACGTTACCTTTCAGCAAAACTAGCACTATGGTAGCCGTATTTACCTGTAAGGTAATATACCTTAGGGTAAAAATGAACTTACGTGCTCTCATGATTTTGAATAATGTAATTATTCACACATGAAGATCCCATTTCCGTGTTGATGTGTTCCAAAAAATTCAGCAGATCCCACGTACTGTGAATCAACTTCATGCGAAGCACGTGGAGGGAAGGTCACCGTGTTGCCTTTTCTTTTGAACCTCACGTCAAGAAATGACGCTGAATATATGTACAAATGTTGCACGCAGGGACATATGTTGAAGAGTTGCAGATGTTTATGTAACCATTTTTCCTCTTGCACAACAATGTCAGCTGGAAATATGTTTTAGCAACATCAAAAGCTGATATGAAGCGCTGATTATCGCGAATATGCTGGCCCTTGACACTGCTACTTAAACCAATTTCAGCACATGGCACCTCACCACAATCCACGTTATCTCGACGTGACGGCTGTATGAAAGGAGTACATATGTAATGTTTATAAAATCGGGTAGACAGCACTGCAACCACTATTGATGTTTCAGGAAGATTGGGGTCTATTTGAAAAGTAGTTCCGAGACTTGGCGTAGCTCTGTGCTAGAATGCTTGACTGCCGCGCAGAATGCTTGGGTTTGATTCCTGCTGGGACCATGAAATTTATTATTTGCATTTGTTCGGCGGCCAATGCTCTATATGCCAGGTTTCTTTTAACACTGACATTAACATTGACGTTGGGTCGACGCTACCAATGTCGGGCATTGCTTAACGCTCACGCGTTAAAATTGCCCATGTGTGTTCTCATGGTTCCTGGGTAGATACTAAGTGTCAATCACCTGTGGCACATACCCGCTTACCAGCGGCACATACCTGCCCCTGAGTATGTGCCACTGTCTGACGGGAAGTGTTTGACGACGTACGCGACGGGATCGTGACATTTTTCATATTTGGACCAGCGCGTCATATTCGTCAAACTATCTTACCCTCCCATGCTAATTTTGGTTCTCGCAAAGTCAAGGGGGTGACCACCGGAGCACCCAAACGTAAGCGGCTAGATAGATAGATAGATAGATAGATAGATAGATAGATAGATAGATAGATAGATAGATAGATAGATAGATAGATAGATAGATAGATAGATAGATAGATAGATAGATAGATAGATAGATAGATAGATAGATAGATACGCTCAAAGTCGCCGAAGTTCACTGAGAAATGCTTTGCATTTAGAACATGTAAGGTGTGGCAAGCACTAGTTTTCCGTTCATGTTTTTCCTATTCCGTAATTTAATTCGCGAATTACGGTTTCCAAACAATATGAACATGGCGCATGCTATACTGTTGGGCTTCCGGTGATTTTTATTACCTTAAATTTTATTGTCACGAGGTTTTATGTCACGTTGGCTTCTACCACGCCGCCTTACTCAAAATATGAGGGGCATGGCCATTATCGCACTCGTACATTCAAGTTGAGTAGCCGACCTCCGTAACCACTTCGGCACTACGGCAACCAAATATTTCGGCTTTTCGCTATTAGTTCGTAGTGCATAGCACTTCAGGGCATTATACAGTAGATTCTAAATCTGGAGAATAAAACGACCGGGCAAATTTCAGAGCCAAACAAGCCTTCGAAGACGCAGAAATGTAAAACTGACATGTAGGTGCTGCAATTACTATTCGTCTGGCGGCTGGTTTTTATGAAGAGCAGAACGGTATGTAAAAGTTCGTTCGAGAATGGTTGCAGAAAGGATTTATTTGTTTCGTGGCTAGTTTATGTCGTAAAATATTGGCGTATTCATAATGTTCAGCATATGTGATGAACATCATTAGGTGGATGACCTCGGTTGGTGCACCAGTCGGTTCCTGATGGTTTCCTGGTGGGGCTCGCACCTGGTTGGGGGGTGATATTAGATAACCCATCTGTCTTCTGGACTTGAAACAGTTTGATCCAGTTCTGGCAACGAACAAGAAAGAGAATAGGTAGTTATACATACCAATTTTTATCTCGATAATCTCACTAGTGTGTTAAAACTGCTGTAGTTTAAAATGAAGAAAAAGTATTTAGATATCGTGATTTGCACCGACTGCAGTGAGCAGCTGTGGTGAATACACCTTTGGTGAATATACCTGCAGTGACCACAGTTATTCTTTTTGAACACAAGTGAAAATTAAGATGCAATTGCGAACGACTTAATGGTGTGAGCTGCATACATGATGTAGAACAAGATAACTCTTAAGAAGTGTGTAAGACAGAAAGCACACAATGTCCGAAGGCTGAAAGGTTTAGTAAAATGCTATGTGGTGCACTTCGTAGAGCTGGCAGAATGCGAAAGGGGGTTCGAAAGCCGAAAAAAAAAGAATGGAAAGAAAAAAACAATGAATTAGCAATGCGCTGCCACACGTAGGACTGCACGGCTCGACAGAGGCACTATGCGCACATCTATCGTTTAAAAAAGTGCAAGAAAAACCGATATTTCCCAACATGTAGCGGCCACTGGACAATCAGCCTCTTTCATGACATGTGCTGCTCAACACCTTTTACATCCATTCATCAGAGAGAGAGAGAGACAGAGCATAGAGAGAAAGGCAAGGAGGTACGTTAACCAGGGCTGAGCCCCGGTAGGCTTCATTGCACTGCGGAAGGAGAGAGGGAAAGAAAGTTACAGAGGGGGAGAGAAAAGTTGACTGACTGGGCCGACGCGTAACAGTTTCACATCACAAACGATGAAACAGGCCGGTGTCTTTGAGAAAACGCAACAGCGCTTCCGTTGCATTTCAGAATTGGGATGTGTAGTGCCATGGTCCCAATACTTTATCGACAGTAAAATCACTTCTGTCCAGTTGATTTAAAACACTGCACAGTTAAAGCTTCTCGGTTGTGTATGCTGGGCAGTAACATAACTGGTATTCAATTGTCTCATTGATGGCGCAGTCCTTGCCCTCCGCACTGTCGGCCATTGCAATCCTAAATGAGTAGGCATTGGTGAAGGCTACACCCTAGGCGCGGACGGCACAACACCGTACCCTCCTCCCTAAAAAGACCAGAGGGTAGCCGCAACGTAGAGATGGGTCGAGAAAATACAGTTGATGATGTGCGAACTGTGATGACTGCCACCTCTGGAGGGTCATGTTCTGCGCCAACTTGAGTATTTAGCCGAGTCAATCTGAGATAAAAGTATGGAAGCAGTTTTTTTGTACGTGTGCCTTTCTGGCGGCTTCATCCGCGATGTCGTTGCCGGACACACCGCAATGACATGTTATCCCTGAACCACAACGTTGTGTCCCTGTTCGGTCGCATAATGCAGCATTGCGACCGAACGCATAATGCATAATGCGCATAATGCAGAATTGCGAGTCTGTTGGAGGAATGCGCAGGGGTGTTGCGGACAGAAAATCGGCAGCTTTTACAAGCGTTGATTAGAAATAAATATCTATAGCTTGGTGTTTACATTGCTTGATGGTGCAGTTCTATACAGAGGAACGTTTGTGCGCATTAGTAGCCATTCTCTTACCAGCGCAACACGAGAGATTTGCATTTGGTCGGCAAGCGAGCCGATTAAGAAGAACATGTTGTGTAGGTACTGGTTGCTTGATTTTGCAATGAAATGCGTTTCTGACCACCCGGGGCCTTTGGTTACTGGTTAGAACGCAAAAAGAATATTTCTGCAATTTGCAAGGGAGTACGTTCATAGATTTTATACTTTTTTCAGCTTTATTGAGTTGAATTGGTCTCGTACCTGTATACAAAACGATACACTAACGGCCAAAAAAGACGTGGTAGTTCCAATATAACCTGGTATTTAAAACGTTTTAGGCCCGATTCAGATGTTTCTTTCCTGCGTACACCTTCTTTTAGAAAGTGAAGCTACCTCCTGAACGAGTAGTGGCCCACAGTTTATTATTTTTACATAGAGAGCAGTACCTCACATTCATCGCGAGGGACGCACTGCCTTGGCATGAGACGTGAGTGCTGTGGACTTTCAATTACCCGATCTGTGTTTTAACAAGTACGTACCTTCTACATCAACCAGAGCTGATGCTTCAAGCGCTGGTGGTTGACGCTGGCTTGCTTCACCGATCTCTTTTATCTGACTGACGGTGAGCTGCCGAGTTTCTTGCATGGACAGAGTCACGTCGTATTCTCGCTCCAGCAGTTGCTTCACTTCGATGCCCATCAAGGAGTCAATGCCTAACTCACCGAGGCTGATGGACGAGTTCAGTTTGGACGGATCTTTGACGCCTGCATGAAATATGACCAGGATTGCGTCACGATATTCATAAACTACGCATACTGGCTTTAGATGATGAATGTATGTGTATTTGTTTCTTCGCTTCAGACACCTTTCTCGCCTTATCGCAACATAAGTGGCGTTGCTAGGGGATGGGGGGCGAGTGCACACTGTGCTTGTTCTCTTCGCTTCAGAATTGTTTCGACATGGCATAGAAAACCTAAAATAACACTCAGCCATATCTGTCTGTCTGTCTGCCACTTGACGTAGATGACGTGCCCCTCGAACCCTACAAAAAACATTAATACCTACGCCCCTTCTTCACCTGTTCAAAGATAGTGGCAACTCATGTGTTTGCGCCCTAAATATGCTAAAAGCAGTGATTACCTGCAAATGTTCTAGAACTGCCTATATTCAACAATTTGTTAGCTGCGATATCCGAGGCATCCAGCATGCCGGCCACATAAAATTCGCATGCCCTGTAGCGTCCTGTAAACAGCACTATTGATAACTTCTTCAAATGGTGCATGTCCACAAAGAAGTACTCATGACGGTCATCTAAAAGTTATACCCCTCTGTATATGAAACGCCAATAGATTCTGAGTGACAAAGGTAAAATAATTGCACTAAGAGAACATACAAAAAGCGGACACTAGGCCTTTCACTCTACCTTGTGTGAAGCTGCAAATTATAGCACCCCCTACGGTAGTGCCGCAAATGGAGTCCTAGATACCGCGGGAACACATTGCAGCCGCAGAGCTTCTAAGATTAGGTAGAAACCACGCAGCTTGCCGCCAAGGTTTGGTGGACAATAGGTTCAGACCGATCCCGTACCATGCGAGGGGACAAGCATATTTTCAATATTGAGAGGCTGCCAGCGAGGGCGGTGGTTCGGAACTTCCATGGTTCGGACCAAAGGCGCTGCCGCCTAGATGGTGCGCCGTGGTGTGGACAAGTACACATGTGCACTGGGGGTGCGCCGCCTTATTGCGGCACTACACGATACTGCACGTGCACGTCTTGGGCCCTGATTGGCTTCGACCAAAGTGGCAAACATTTCGGCGAGGATACAAATTCACTTCGGAAGTCATCCAGGCAAGCCGCTACTGGTAATACTCTGTTGTGAATCGTCGGCGATTACCATCACGGGTACGCCTCTCCACTTGCGTGCTTAGCGTTCTGCCAAACCGTGCTAAACGTAGGTTACTTACCTACTGTGGTGCTGGTACTTTGGAGAGCGAAAGGTAAACTTATAATTTTGGCTCTCCTGGGTTAGGTATATTTAGACGCTACAATGATAAAAATGACGGAAATGATAAAAAGTTACACCATCTCCTAGTAAAGGAAACCATGAGTGTAATGAGAAGCGCATGGGTTGACTTAAAGTACCCTTCATCACAGGCACCTTGGTAGATGTTGAAGCGTCATTGCAAATGGAGCGAACCGTGAATAATTAACATAGTAATATTGCTGTTACTCGTCCAGAACTCTTTTTGGAGCACGCCACGTTGGTTCCTTACCACGTCATATGGCAGTAAGTGCGTTCGTCGCGCGTCTGTAGAGTCTCAATACCCAACGCCATCGCATGATTGCTGAGAGAGAGTAAGGAGGAGAGGCCTCAGCATCCTACCCAGGCCCTTACACAAGCACGAACTCTCTTGCGTAAGAGTGCGATCTGGCTTTGCTTGGAACAGGGAGGAGGAAGAGGAGGAGAAGGAAGAGAGGGAAGAAACGAAAGGCAGGGAGGTCAACCAGACGCACGTCCGGTTTGCTACCCTGCACTGGGAGAAGAGGTGAGGGGATTAAAGGAGAAGAGAGAGAAAAGTGAAAGGAAACGTGTATGTAGATGTGACCTAGTCCATTGCACGCTTATAAGTAGTTGCGTCGTCCGGTCGTCGTTAGAAAACTTAGCAATGCACGCGTCGCTTTGCTCGCTTGCGACGCATAGAGCCATAAATCAAGGATCTTCTCTTCGGAAAAAGGTTTACCGTCTACTGTCTCTTACGTTTCGGGTAGCAAGTTGCATTCGCTCGCAAAGCATTCACATGAACACAGTAGATGTTCTATTGTCTCGTCCGGGTCGCACGATTCACATCGGGAGCTACCCGCCATGTCTGTGCGAAAGGAGTACGCCTTCGTAAAAGCTGCTACTAACCACAGGCGGCACAGTAAAGTTGCATCCTGGCGGGAGAGGTTCGATAGAACTTGAAGCTTTCTCGATGGGTCCAATTTGTGTAGGCGGCGGGGTCACTCAGCCAAGTGTCCGACATAGTGTTAGCGAAGGAGTGAAGGCCCCTTGCAGAGTCGGTTATCGACAATGGAATTGGGGTTGTCTGGGCGTCCGCGTCGCCGGATCATGCAGCATTAACAGCAAGGTCGTTACCGACAATACCACAATGTCCCGGTAACCACTGGAACACCATGTCATGTCCTTTCGATAAAAAATTCGTGAAGCACTTTTCTTATTTCATTCACTAGTTGTTGATGCACCCTTTGTCGTAAAGCTGATTGCAAGCTCTGAAGGTATGCCTTGGAGCCGCAGAACACAGCCCAGTTTTTAGGTCGGGCTTTCGAAATATAAAGTATAGCAACACGTAAGGCGGCAAGCTCCGCTGCTGCGGATGTTGTCCTATGTGACAGTTCGAACTTTATAGTGACCTGGTATGTCGGGATGACAACAGCACCTGTGGAGCTGTCAGCCGAGACCAATCCAACGGTGTAAATGTGGAGCCTCTGTCCGTAGTTTTTGTTGAGTAGCGACAATGTCAACGTCGTAGAATCACTGCTGAATGACGGCTCTTGTTCGTTATTCCCGGAATAGTGAGGCACACCTGTGGTTGTTGTAGGCACCACGGAGATGACGCTGGTCTTGTTGCTGGAGTGAAGCCAAAAGGAAGGCATTCTCTCTGAGAAGAAATAATTCTTTGAAAACATCGCTAGTGGTCTTTGAAGTGGCAGCACTGCAACATGGTGACCAGGAACTCGGCAGAGGTGTCTTATGTGGGCTCTGAAATTGTCAGTGGTGATGTATGTTTGAATCGGATGCTCTCTTGCGATCATAATTGCCCCGTAGGTTGAGGTGCATCGCGGCAATCTTAAGCACAGGCGTAGTGCTTTTCGTTGCAGACTTTCGAGAGTGCGAATGTTCGTCTTGCACGTACTTACCAGTAACGGCAAGCTGTAGCGCAAAAATCACAGAAACAGTGCCCTGTATAGCTGTATAATTGACGTTATCGATGTGCCCCAAGATTTTCTGCAGAGGAACCGCATTATATGGACGATGCATGTTAGGCTTCTCTTCAGGTAATTGCGGTGGGCACTCCATGAAAGGTTCCTGTCAATCATCGCACCCAGGAAGCGATGGTTCTTCTGGTATGGAATATTTTGTCCATTGATGGTAACGGGGTATCGATTCTTGGTTCTGCGAGTGAACGCAACCAATGCACATTTCTTCGTTGTGACGGAAAGACTTTGCTTGCGGAGATATGAGCATGTCAGGGTGGCAGCCTGCTGGACTCTTGCACGTACTTGTAGACGAGTTACAGCCGAAGTTCATAGACAAATATCGTCAGCATATGTAGATATGAGGATAGTACTGGACAAAGTTTCACGAAGACGTACCATCACGAGGTTAAATAAAGTGGGACTTAATATTGCGCCCTGAGGGACACCACGTGAGGAATAATAATTGGTGGTAGGTACATATGCGGTTTGCGCAAAGGAGGACCTTCTCTTCGATTAATCCTGGATCCATTTGAACATTCGACCACCGATTCCGACAGCTTCAAACGAGTCTAAGAAGGCTTTTTGTGTTACGTTATCATAAGCCCCTTTGACTTCGAGGAAGAGTTCCAGTTGTATGCGCTTGAGGCTCTTCTGTCGCTAGATAAATGTTGTGAAATCAATCACGTTGTCAAGAGATGACCTACCTCGCCGAAAATCCGTCATGCAGTTTGGGTATACGTTGTAGCACTCCAGGTACCATTCTAGGCGTGTAAGCATCATCTTTTCTATGACTTTTCCTACGCAACTTGCGAGGGCAATAGGGCGAACTGATTTTAAATCAAATGGTGACTTTCCTGGTTTGAGTAGTGGCACAAGTCGACTTATCTTCCAATCCTGGGGAGCAATGCCCGCCTGCCATGAGTGGTTGTAATAGCATAACAAGTGTCCCCTAGCCTTCTGTTGATGGTTGGCTAGAGCGCCGAAGGTGATGCCATCAGTCCTGGTGAAGATGATTGTCGGGAAGCCGCCAAAGATGCGTCAAGTTCTTCTATAGTGAAAAGATTGTCCATTTCGGAGATGCGGGGTTCAGGGATAACACTCCTAACGTTGCCAGCGGACAAGTAGGACACACTAGCGATTCGCGTACAAAACTAATTTGCCACTTCAAGTTGGGTGTGGCCTAATTGTAGCTTAAGCCATGAAAGGATGTCTTTGTTGAGGAGTCGAGCGCAGGCCGCGAATAGTGCTCAAGATGCGTGACAATGGCTTTTGGGGATCCAATGATTCGCAGAATGATTTAGAGCGTTCCTGTTCAAGTTTGTCTAAACGTCGTTGGACATTTTTCTGTATGCATCGTGCCAGCCTCAAGTCGCATATTGCTTTCGTCCGTCTGTATCTCCCTTCCGCCCTTCGGCGAAGCGCACACAGTTTTTCCAGTTCAACGTCGAAATCTGAACGCTTGCCGGTGAACGGGAGGAGAGAGGAAGCTTCGCGCATTGCCTCTTTGATGAAAACCTCCAAGTTCTGGTCAGGGTCTTCACTGGATGTATTTCCCATGAGTCGCTTAAATTTGAACCAATCAATTCTTCGCATTGTGGTCCTAGGAGAGCAGTTAGTAAGACCTTTTATACGCATATAAGTTGCAATGTGGTCACTCCCATGCGTTTCGATGTCTGAAAACCAGTGCACTTGCGACCAGAAGTTTCTGGATACCAGAGTCAAATCAAGGCAACTGCTGTACTTAAGGCCCCGCAGGTATGTAGGGCTGCCATCCTTTAAGAAACATAGGTCGTGCTTGGAGGCGAATGACCCGAGGTTTCTTTCTTCAGCGTTGATCGTCTAACTACCCCAGATTAACTGATGTGCGTTGAAGTCTCCAGTTATAACGTATGGGCCCATAGTTGTTGTCAGTATGTCTTGTAGTCGGTCTTGTTTAAACCGTCCAAATGGTAATATGTAGACACCAATGAGTGTGAATGACATTTTTTTCTTTTTAACACGTAAGCAGACATATTGATTGTAATCATGCGGTTGAACTGCGTGATGCACATATGTGAAATCTGTGCGAATGTAAACAACCACCTTGCTGCGTTCCTCACACGATGAAGAAACGAAAGATTCATATCCTGATGGTTTAGGAGGTTGTTGCACATTTGGTTCACATATAACTATTACAGGAATACGATTCATGAATATATACTGACGGAATGAAGATATGCGGGATCTCAGGCCTCTACCGTTCCACTGCAGTATCGACGCTTGTCAGACCTCGTTGCGGAAGGAGAAAAATGGCCGTGTCATGGTTGCTACTAGAGACTTGCAAATACTGGACTTGGAGCATTCAGTACTTGTTGTGCACTCTGAGTGAGTGGAGACTTCAGACTGCTGCACAGCTTTCGCATGGCATCCAGCAGTGTTCGGAACATTCTGATGACTTCTGTTTCCTCCTCATGCAGCTTGTCAGCGACAGGCTGGAGGGATGTGATTGTCGATGTGCACCTGAAATTTGCTGCTGGCTGTGATTTCGGCAATGAAGGCCAAGCCTCTGCAACACTGCTGTTCGTTGGTTTATTGACCGCGCTGGCCGCCTTTAGTCTGCGAGGCAAGGGCGGTGGAAGAGAAGGGCGGTGGAGTGGCGCTGTCGATGCAGTGTCTGCGGCATTCTTTGATGAACTGCGGCGACGATGACGCCTCTTTCGGACGTTCGAGGCAGCCTCTCGATGCGACAAATTGTCTCTGACCATTTATTTCGATACCGCTTTTTCTCTTTGGATTTTCGGGCATTCTTTTGACGAAGCTGCATGTGACCCATGACAATTCGAGCATTTAAGGGTAGTTGCTTCGCAGTCATCCGCAGAATGGGCTTCCGCGCAACGAGGACACACCATCCTATTTTCGCATACGCTTCTGACGCGGCCCAGCTTCATGCACTTATGACACTGCAAGGGCTTCGGTACGAAAGGTCGCATAGAATGCCGAAAGTGGCCCACCTTTACGTGTGAAGGAAGAGAGTCGCCCTTGAACATGATCTTCAATCAGCGTGAGTTTCCCAAACTGACAACTTTTGCGATGACGCCGGCTTCATTAGCCGGTTTGACCAGAACATCGAAGTTCGAAGGTTTGACCAGAACACGATGCGTTCTCATTGCTGCACGAGGTCAGCACTTACAGGTTGTTTTCGTCTTAAAAAGTGTCAAAATGGCCGCATCACTATAACATCCTTCGGAATTATTGCCAATAAGAATATTCATTATGGTACACAGACATTATCCAACGCGAAAACAGATGACGCAATGTGTTCATCACGTCCACAGGCGGTTTTTTTCAGTCGCAGCTGCAGGATTTACAGCATAATGTTACTCTCGCTGCTCTCAAACTACTCATTAGGACACACTTGGCTCAAGAATATGGCAATTCTATTCGCGTATACATCGATGATTATGTGACTATGCGCTTCGACTGCGTTCTTGTCGAAATTGTAAATTAGGCAATAAGCCATCTTCAAGACTGATTCATTGATATGTGCGATTTAACGTTCCGAATCCACGATATGATTATGACAGACGTCGTAGTGGAGGGCTCCGGAAATTTCGACCTCATAAGGTTCTTTAAGGTGCACCCAAATCTGAGCACGCGGGTCTACAACATTTCCACTTCCATCTGAAATGCAGCCGCCGCAGCCGGGCCTAGATCCTGCGACCTGCGGTTCAGCAGCCGAGTACCTTAGCCACTAGACCACCGCGGCCGGGCACCATCTTTAACAGCTGAAGAACATGTTGCAATACGGAAAGCCATCCTATTTGTGTACTGCCGGACACCTCGTAAACGGGGGGTACTATCAGACTCAGATTTCGCATTGCAGACATTTACACTTGCTTAAAGAGCGCACAAGATTTTAAAATATCTTCAAAAATCAATAAAAATATTCTCTCATGCGACCACAAGATGGCATTGCAATGGACACTGGGAAATGGCAGCCAAAAGCTTGCTGACACTGAAGCAATAGTCGAAGTACGTAACGCCCCCTTTGACGTGAAAGTGCCGTTTTCTAGAAGTGGCGTTAATCCTTTATGGATATCGCGCATTCTGGAGTGCTCAGCAACTTATTGGTCGCAGCCAGACCATCCATACAGGTGCGTGCAAGAAACAGTCCCTGAGACAACTTTTCGCCGCTCGGCTTGCATGAAACGATGCAACTCCGGCCTACTACAACGCATTTACCTGGGCGTTGCATTCACTCACCGCTACGAACACTTTTTCCGCCGTGCACACAGCCCGAACTGTGAATGTTGCCAAGTGTGTGAAATAACAGCGCATATATTTTGTGACTGCCTACTTTACATGTCGCAACAAAAAAAAAACGCTCGCTTCAAAGCTCACAGAAATCGCTGTGGCAACGCCAAGTGAAAGCGATATTTGGACAGCAATGTGCGATCAAACAAGATGGACTGTAATATGGTTGTGATATGCTTGCTAAAACAATAGACTGTAGTGAATCCACGGCGATGCACCGTTATTTTATATGTGAAAACTTGTTTTTTCTCCCAATTTTCACTCCTCACTTCTTTTTTCGCCCTGTCCCTCCTACCCAGTGCAGAGTAGCAGACTATAGAGCGAACTAGATCAGGCCGACCTCTCTACCTTCTATTAAAACATATATCACTCTCTCTCTTTCTTTATACAGTCACCAATTACCTAAGCAAAAGGCCATGCAAACTCACCAAGAATGCGAGCCACGCTCTCAACAAGATTTCGCTTCTCGCCGCTGTCTTGTGTTGATGACTTCGTACTCTTCACGAAGCAGGAGACGACGGGCTGTTTTTGACTGAGGAAGTAGTCCATAACAGCCAAACAGGAATTTATCGGCTGTGGCATAAGTCCGAAAAATTGCGTTTCCGTGTGCATACTTTCGTGGAACGCGCCAACTTCTCCAATAGGGCCCCACTGGATGGCCAAGCCTGGACACAGAAAAATATTGTATTTACATAATTTCGATGATATGTGAAGTTTAACGTCCCCAAACCACCATATGAATATGAGAGACGCCGTAGTGGAGGGCTCTGGAAATTTCGACTACCTGTAGTTATATACCGTGCACCCAAATCTGAGCACACGGGCCTACAACATTTCCGCCTCCATATTAACATAATTTTTGAAAACAAAAACTTGTAAACGTCGATATCAATCAAATATTTATCATGAAGAGTTTCGTCGTTACAAGTATTGGCAAGGACTTCCAGGGTATTCAGCTCATTGAAAACAATTGCTCTGCATGAGAAAAATTGGGGTATTGTGGTCTCGACGATTGTACCGACAGATTGAGAAATATATGTCGAGGTGGTTTCTGACAAAATCATTGAACAGAAAACTTTCGTACAACCCTATGTATTGAATGACAGCCGCAAAATTTCCGACAAGAATTAAAAAAAATATCAGTTGAATGTCAGCACTCGTCCACGTCAACTCCCTTTTTGTGCATTCGAGGTTTTTTATTTTTCCCCCGCTATGGAAATTTTTCTGCACAATGAACTACCAACTAGCGCAAACGCTCACGTTAATTTGTGAATGCTAGCAAACTACCGCTACTGATAATAAACACAACACAGGAAAATCAAACGTACCAGGACACTGATACTACACGATACCATGAGTCTTACCACGTTTCTTGGACACAAAATATAGCGTATTGCACAAGGTGCGCAGAGAAGATCATTTCGAGAGTTGTAGTTTTTGTGTTTGGTACCCTGAAGTACTAAATTCAATGACCAGATTTTGCAAATTTATACAAATACCTTATTCGTTTCTAAACGGAAGGGAGGTTGTATAAAGGTGAAAACAAAAAGAAAATCAAAACCATATGATGAGAGGGGGCTACAAGGAGGGCGTGCTCTAACAAAGTAAATTGAAGAAGTTAAAGTTCGAAGCGTTGCTATTGCGTACTGAAAGCTTTTTTGGTACTCTCTTCATATCTATCTATCTATCTATCTATCTATCTATCTATCTATCTATCTATCTATCTATCTATCTATCTATCTATCTATCTATCTATCTATCTATCTATCTATCTATCTATCTATCTATCTATCTATCTATCTAACCACCGTCGATTTTTAGCCTTCCTAGCCATCTCGATGATAGTATAGGTGCGAAAGTTGATATGGCACAACATGACTCTATAACAAACACAATTGACTATTCATAATACGAAACTTATAACCTGCATGTCAAGAACGTCATGAATTACATTTCATAGCCTTGCTTGCTGTTGGGTTGGTTTTGTTCACATGACGTTTAAAAAAACTTGTATGGTATGACATGACTGCTTGACGAGCATAAGTGTGAGACACTAACGTGGAATTCATGACATGCATTCAAGATTTTGATGGTATGAGTAGTCATGACTACACGCCACACTCATGGTGCGCTCGTGGTCATTCGCTAGCTTCACATATACCAAATTTGGTGTTACATTACGTCATTGAATGCTGAAAGTACATGACTGGTGTAAACATTATAATATTGACATGAGTGTCATGTAAGAACGTTACAACTTACCACGCTCATGATACGCACACGGCCCTTTCGCTAGCTTCACATATACCAAATTTGATATTACGTGATGTGAATGGCCGATGGAGCTAAATGACATATGTGAATAAGATAACCCTGACATGCCTGTCATGTAAAACATGAATACATGCTACGCTCATAGCGTGCTCACGGCCGTTTCCCTATCTGCACATATACCAAATTTGGTATCGCATGACGTGAATAGACGACGAAAGTAAATGAAACGTCCAAACATTATAACCATGACATGCGTGTGGTGTAAAACATGACTACACGCTGCGCTCATCGCCTGCTCACGGCCGTTTTGCTCGCTCCAAATATACCAAACTTGATGTCACGTGGCGTGAATAGACGACGAAGTGAAATGACTCATACAAACATGGTAATCATGACATGAATGACATCTTTGGCATGATTCAGGTGTGCCTTGTAATGTTGCGCTGATTTTAGGATGATACATCATCCTTCATCTTTCGCGCTTTGCGTTTTATCGATTTCCACAGGACATGGGATCTGCCAATTTTTATCACAACCTTTTGTTATATATAATTTCGTTAAAGTTGTTTATAACAGCATTAGTATCACATATACATTATGAAACAGCTCTATCAAACTTTCTGGTGATTTTAGCACATTGCCAGAGCACTGTTGTAGAGCCCCTTATTAAAGTATGAACGTACAGTTATACTTAAATATAACACATTTTGCCGCTAACAGAGCAACTACTGCATGCACATTTCACACCATTTGTAAGTTCGTCTCTAAATTAGGAAAGGATCTGTATTCAGGGCAAGGCTGTGTTTGAGAGAACATTTCCTCAAGTGCAGTTGTCTCCTTCAAGGCTAGGACTGACTTCCGTATACCTATATTGCGTGTTTTTTTATGTAAATACTTTTCTAACAAACTAAATCCGTTATATGAGTAGAGTTTCGAAACGGTCCTTTCTATATATCTGTTTCATCATTTAAATGAGATGTATTTCCGTTTTCTTAATCCTACACATTTCCCGATGCGTTTCTGCTGGTACGGTGTAATAATATTAGGATTTTGCTTTGAACTACAGCATACTTGGCCACAGCCTTCATTAGGACGCTTAACATCTGCTCAAGTGAAGGCAACGCTTTTTTAGTAGCTATGTAGCGTAAAATTAGAGCGCCGGCCTAACGATAGAAGTACTCATGGCACCACTTGCGTACTGCTCTGGTTCTTCCTATTTGAAGGAAAGCACATTTTGAAGCATCCATGTGAAAATACTGATGATGTGACGTAATCCTATCACCCGAGCAAGCGTTTACATGTAGTGCAACGCATACATTTGAAACAGTAGCAGATTATCTCACCGGAAAGCCCGTCGGCGACCCTTCGCTCACACAGGCGCTCCGCGACAGAGTTGGCAAAGCCGTAGTTTGTCTGACCGACTTGACCACGGCCAGCAAGAGAAAGAGGAGAAGACAACGAAGTGGTCGAGCTCGGGACACTCCTGCCGCGACACCTCGTCGAGGCTCTGAGTGGCCAGCACTTTCGGCTTACACACCTCCGCGTACATCTCTGCTGTCTGGTTCTCCATCAAGGCATCACGCAGAACCTGCCATTATCAAATATATATAGAGAAAAAAGACCTTTTTTCACACTGCTAATTGTCATTCCGGCTATGCTTGTATTTTTTTATGGTGCGTGATCGAAAGCAAGTTGATACAGTTGTGGCGAACATAATTTTATTCTGGTCGTGTATACTAACTTCAGGAGACCCCTATGATAGTGAGGCTGGGAAACCTTCTCTGTATGCGAGTTGTAAATTCATAATAATTTCAGGTGGCTAGCTGCTGTTGGTACCTTTTATCATGCGCTCGTGCTCCTATTGCGTGCTGAATTATTAAATATATGCGAATAAACAATAAGTGAAGTGGTGATCACACTACAATCATCCTGTTTTCTGTACAAAGCAAGGTACAACAGTTATACCAGCACTTATTTTAGGTTTTCTTTCACGTGGCGTCTTCAGTGGCCCCTATAGCTGCTCCATGTGCTAATTCCGATTGTGTTTACTTATAGTTTGCTGCTCAATGCACTCTGGATACCATCTTTTTGTTACAGTCGACCATCAGGTAAAACACAGGTACATTTTCATCTTTGGAAAGAAATATAGCCCTGTACCCATAAAGTATGTATTTAGGAAGAATTGTAAAACTGGGGATTTCAGTCTTCATATCTAAAGTAAGAACCTTGCTGTACATGGGTAACAGGTCAAGCTTACGTCCCTGCAAGACAGGAGAGCCGCTAACAGCGTTTGCACGTGACGATAGTACACTACTCTTCCTTGTATGCGATATTCTGGCTCTGGCAGCCGCATAAGCAATGGAGGCAAGATTTTAGAGCCCCAAGATTTAGATTTAGGAGCAACATAAGGAACTCGCCAACACCAGTCACCAACTTCTATTCCGGGTGCTCTTACCAGCAGGTGCAGCGACAACGAAGTGATGGCCACAGGTGACACTCCTCGTCCATAAAATGTGTAAGGAATCCGGTATAACGTGGCAGCACGACCATAGATTGAGTACAGCCGTGGCCACGTCTGTGTAGAGCACGCGAACAGGTGATTTTTGCTCTGCGGGGCGACACCTTGGGGCGGTATCAGGCTCTGACGTGGTCAGCCTGACAACTAGGCTGTGCACGCTCGTGATACATCACTTCAAAGCCAAAAACTGCCTCAAGGTTTCGGCCCGCAGAGCAAAAACCAGCAACTCGAGCGCTCTACACAGACGTGGCCACGGCTGTACGTCGACACAGGTCCTTTTCGTGAGACATGTGTTTGCGAATAGTGGTATACAGGCGTGCACTAGTTCTCGTTAAAACATGACAGCTCAAAGAAGGATTATGCCACCCGTCCGGCCTCTCGTAGTGGACATGAAGAGGTTGTAAATTAAACGCCCTCGTGAAGGCGGTGACCATGCGCATTGAAAGGACGAACCTCTGTAACGTATTCTCGTCCAGTGATTGCACATTTCTACCTAACTAGGGGTATCAATAGTATATAATGATTCACCAATCACTTTCCTGACTACAGAATTCGTCTGCTTACAAGACATAAATTTAAGTTTCTTCGTAATCAGTCTTTTTGGGCCTTGGTATTCTGCTTCTGACGTTATAGGCCTACAGTTTGACACCTTCGCTTCTGACATTGCTATCCACTGGAACGATGTTGCAGCAAGCCAATCGTAGTTACTCTTTCGTCTCAATAAATCGATATTTACAGGTGTCAATTTAGTCTTGATAACATCTCGGTGCGCTGACGGGAGAACGGAAAGCTAGGTGACAAACAAGCGCTCCTAGCCTTCCATTCTTTTGTCCACTGTATGCTCGCTGAAATGCTACCAAGAAGGTCGCCAACCAACTCGCCCAATTTTTCATTTTATTACATTATATCGTCCATTTATGTTGTGACATTTAAACTCATGCTGCAATTGTCCTTGCCTCGTTTTGGTAGATCAAAAGGTGCCCCTTGGTAAGTAACTGCCGTAGAGTTTGCGATATATTTTTAAATAAACTAATACCTTCAATTGATAGGCAAATGTTTGTTTCTCATCAGGGCGAAAATAAAAAGTTTATTTAACGGGCAATTTCAAGCGCAGAGAAAATGCCATCAACAAATAATGTATCTAATAATGAAACAACCTGTACCCAAATCAAGAAACAGGAATCTTTTCAGCAATTCAAAAATTTTTTGGTTGTTGCAATTACCCAAAAGTGCTGATTCAGAGGAAAGTCAGTGACGTTGGCATGAATACATATTGTTACACAAGGCAAGGTAAATTAATGGGGGTTTTAATGGGCACTGAGTCCGCGATCACCGTATAATGATGATGATTTCCACCGCCATGGCTCGTACCCACTAAGAGGGATTGCAGTGGAGGCAACGTTGTCTTCATTCTCTACCCGCGCTTCCGTTGTTTTTCTTGCTAGTGATACTTCTTATCATTCCTCCGGTCTCAGACGAAGTCTCTGGGCGAGTCCTTCTTGCATCCTTTGTGTAAACGGCTTCAAGCGGGCAACATGCGTCACCTCTGTCTTGCATGAACGTCGGCCACTAGTGGTGACGCGTGCAATTTCATAGTTGACCTCGCTGAGACGATGAAGTATCACGAAAGGAAAGGCGTAGTGTGCCAGTAGCTTTTGGCTCAAGCCACGTCTGCGTATTGGGGTCCACACCCACACTAGATCACCGGGGGCATAGGTTACATGCCTGTGTTGACTGTCGTAGCGAGTTTTGGAGAACTCTTGCGCTGCCAGTGTACGTAGGCAGGCAAGTCGACGTGTCTCTTCCGCACGACACAAAGTTTCCGCACTTGTTAAATCGTCATCGACGACAAAAGGAAAGATAGTGTCCAGCGTATGTCGAGGTGAGCGAGCGTAGAGCAGATAGAGAGGGCTGTAGCCTGTCGTTTCGTGTTTCGACGTGTTCAAGGCGTACGTGACGAATGGTAATACTTCATCCCAGTTTTTGTGGTCGTAGGAGACGTACATTGACAACATTTTGATCAACGTTCGGTTTGTGCGCTCAGTGAGGCCGTTAGTTTGTGGATGATACGCTTGAGTGTCAGAACTTGGAAGCACACAAATGAAGTAATATTCGACAATATCAGCGGTAAATTGTCGTCCACAGTCACTTATTATCACGCGAGGAGGTCCGTGTCGGAGGATGACTGAATTCAACAGGAGCTCCGAAACCTGGACTGCCGTGGCGGAGCATAAGGCAGCCGTCTCGCACTACCGCGTCAGGTAGTCGGCGCATACAACTATCCTACCGATTACCTTTTGAGGAGCGTGGGAATGGTCCCATAAGATCAATGCCGACCTTTTCAAAGGGAAACCGGGAGGCTTTACAGGTTGCAGGTGACCAATGGACCCGAGGAGGGCCGCTTGTGGCTCTGGCACTGCGTACAGCTGGCCACGTAGTTCTTAATTGTCTTGCTCATTTTCGGCCAATAGAACCGCTCTTTCGTGCAACTAAGTGTTCGTGTGTGCCTAGATGGCCAGAGGTGGGGTCATCATGCGTGAGACGCAGAACAGACGTTTGGAGAGACGCAGGATCAACTAGCAGAAAGCGGGCGCCCGGCGTGGACAAGTTTCTCTCGTAAAGAAGACCAATTCGGACCCAGAATCGGCCTTCGCCTAATGAATTGCTTGCTCCAGGTAAGATAGCTTTCAAGCTTGGGTCATTACGCTGCTCAGCGGCGAAAGTCACGGCATCGGGAAAGCCGTATGACAGAGAAGCGATAAGGTGGTCAAAGTTATCGCCTTCACAATCCGTCGATGGTAGCGGCATTCTGAAGAGGCAATCCGCATCAGCGTGTAGACGGCCAGTACTTGTATAAAATGGTGAAGACATGTTCTTGCAAACGAATGGCCATCGTGCGAGGCGGCTAGATGGGTCACGAAGGTTGACCAGCCAACACAGGGAATGGTGATCTGTGATGATAGTGAACGGGCGACCGTAGATGTATGAGCTGAAACCGTTGCACGGCAAAGACTACCGCTAGGCATTCCTGTTCGGTCACTGTGTAGTTGCGTTGAGGCTTGCTTAAAGAACGACTTGCGTACGCCACAACGTGTTCCTTCTTGCCACAACGCTGAACGAGAACGGCAGCGATACGATGCCACTTGCGTCTGTGTGAATTTCCGTGGGCGACGAAGGATTGAAGTGCTGAAGTATTGGCTGTGAAGTTAACAAACACTTCAGCTTGTGAAAAGCGGCATCGTACTCAGAGGTCCCCTGAAACGGGCTGTTCTTGCGTAGAAGACTCGTCAGGGGGTGAACGACATCCGCAAACTTGGGTACGAACCGGCGGAAATACGAGCAGAGCCCGATGAAGCTACGCAGTTGTTTCACAGATTTAGGACGCTCGAACGATTCAACGGCCGCTGTTTTTTGTGGGTCAGGTCTAATGCTATCTTTGTCGACGAGATATCCTAACACCAATGTCTGTCACTCGCCAAAGTGGCATTTTTTAAATTCAATACAAGGCCAGATTTTTCAACGCAGCTGAGCACGAGGTCTAGGCGAGTGTTATGCTCCTCAAACGTACGCCCAAAAATTACGACATCATCAAGGTAACACATGCATATATGCCATTTTAAACCACGCAATATAGAGTCCATAAATCTTTCGAATGTCGCAGGAGCATTACATAATCCGAATGGCATAACGTTGAACTCGTAAAGTCCATCGGTCGTAACAAATCTCGTCTTTTTTTTGTCAGCTGCGGGCATCGAATTTGCCAGTAACCTGATCTCAGGTCGACACATGAAAAGTAGGACGCGGAATCCAGGCAGTCTAGAGTGTCATCGATGCGCCGCAGTGGATAGACGTGTTTCTTTGTAACAGAATTCAGTCGGCGGTAGTCAACGCAAAATCTCCACGTACC